CCAAACTGACCCCCGTTGTCCTGTTCACCTCCAGCCAGCTTGCCCCCAACTGTTCCCCTTGCCAGCCTGCTCATCCCCCACTGCCCCCCCATCAGCCTGATCACCCCTAACTGCCTCTGCCTAGGCCCCACTACCATGGCTTTGTCCGGAAGGACATCCAGAAGGTCTCCTGGTCTAATTAGCATATTACTCTTTTATTACTATAGATTCCCAATTTCTGGACAGCTATGCCCCAAACATACTTCACTTCTTTCAAGTATCACCTTCTTATTACGTCCTTCCCCAACCATCCTATCTAAAATTGCAACTTTGCCTTCCCAAGTATACACACCTAGCTTCCATATCTGGTTTATTATTGGTCTGATGCCTCACCATAAGCTATATATTTAGCTTATTTATTTTGATCATAATAAAGCTCCTTTACCAGAAATAGGTTTTTGTTGCTTTTCTAACCCAGCACCTTGAACACTGGCTGGCATAGAGCAGGCTCTAACATAGATTAGCTGAATGATTGCAGTTAAGAAGAGCTACCTCTTAGGTAGAAAAGTAAATAGAAAGTAAGATAAGTACTTTATAAATGCTAATGCATAATAAATGGTAACTATTTAAATTAATATTATATGTCCATGATTACTCAATGGAACTAATGTTTAGGAGGTAACTGCAGGAAGGAAGGAGAAACTCTAGTTAAAAGGGATCATATAGAAGTAAATAGCTTTGCAAGTCAACCTCAGGCAAGGTAAAGACTGTGGAAACACCCTGAAGTTTTGCCCATATAACCAACCCTCAGACCTGCTAGGGGTGATGGCATGAGTCACTAAAGGCTTGGGAAGCAGGCGGACACTGGTATGTGTGGGATTACAAACTCTGTATGCAGTCTTGTGAAATTCGAGGCTCTCTGACAACTGTGTGCTGATGTCCATCCCATAATCTCTAACAGCTCTTAGTTTCTAGGGTGAGTTAGGGCTTGCAGGATTTTCCCATCTCTAAGGTTAGATGTGCATATCCTAAAGCGAGCGGATCAATCCGAGTCCAGGGAGAGGGGCTGCCATGCCTGTTCATATACACTTTAATGGAATGCTTCACTATCAAAGTGAAATCCTCATGGTTGGTCCAGCACCAGAGTGTCCCTATCATACTGCTTTGTGCCTCACACAGAGTCATGCTAGATGGTTTTTCACAAGTTGGAGTGAAATAAATTCACCTACATCTAGATCATTATTAATTTAAAGACATATTTAAAGTGTAATGCAATTTGGAAGGAGCGCTCTATTTCTTGAAGCTATAAAGGACACACGTTCAAAAGTCTGTATTCAGTTGGAGCTATTAGATTAGCTGGTACAGACAGAGTCCATGAATAAAATGTCTTTGTAAATCATTTGCCTTTGCATTTTATAATACAAAGTTGATTTTTATGTATTTTCCACTGGCCTTCATTCATTGACTTTCTTTACTCCCATTGACCAGTTCCTGGGGCCAGAGACTCAGAGGCTGTATATGCTAATTCTCCCACCAGCAGTGAAAATGTGCGGAGATGCAGAGGAAGGCACTGTTCAATAATTATGTGTCATCATATAAAACTTTCCAAACCTTTTCCATTTCACAGTGGAATCAGGTGTGATTTATACAATACTTGCCTCAGCTAGTCTTTACAATTTATAATTGGCTCCCACATGCAGTTTGAACTTTGCTTGCTACACTGCTGCAGGTGTGGCCATCGACCTCGGATCTGTGAAGTTAATTAAAAGGCTAGATCTCATTTCCTTCAAAGTCATGACCTCAGACTCTGCATACTGGAGTGGGGAATGTGTGTATGCATGCACATATGTGCATGGATGGATAAATATGTATATAACATATGCATAAATTATGAGAAAAAGTAAGTAGAAAATGACAGACCCTGAAGAAAAAAGTGAGGAAAGGTATGAGAAGGGAATGGAATTAGAACTCATTAGGCCCTTCCTATGAACCAGGCACCTAGGAAAGAAGTTAATGGGGGGAACAAAGATGGAGGGATGCAATTATCTGGATGCTAAAAAGCAATCTTGTAAAAAACCCTTCATAAAAGGAGAGTGCTGTAAGAATGGAGGCTGGCAGTCCTTCAGGGAGCAATGGTCAAATCATTCAGAAGATAGCAGAGGGCTGTCAGGCACTGATTTGGGCTTTGACTTCCATGGTGCTGGGCTGCTGTCTCAGCAGGAGATGAATTATTTTTGGAGTTCTGCTGAGAAGTCTAGATAGCATGACTTAAAACTGCAGATCCTTACACAGAGTTCAACTTTCCAGAATGCAAGAACTCAGAGAACCAGACAAAGTCAGGAAAGCAGCCCAACACATTTATTTCCCTTTAAACCCTAAAGAATACTGAGTCTCCATAATTTAAAGATCCTAGATGACTACAGATTGGAGGGTTTTAGGTATTAGTATCAGATTTTTTGTTCACTTTTATTTTTAAGGAGAGGTACTTAAAATTTGTGAAGTCACATCTTTGTGGTTCCCCTGATGAGCAGAAGTGTAGGGTGAATTTGAAGAATTTCTGGGTAGGTGGGCAGTAGTGTCAGGTCCAGCTGAGCTTGAGATATGACAAAAAGAGCTTTTCAATTATCTTTGAAAACTACTATTTAGGAATTTCTAGTCAATTACAAGTTTTGCTTAGATGTCACTTTGGCTTTCTCTACTTCTACTACCCCAAAATCATACCAGATATCTTCAGCATCATTGGACTTATTATATAATCTTCTCAACCTCCATTTGCATTATGGGATAGATTGCAATAATTTTGTCCAACTCTTTATCATTCCCTAATTCCATGCTTCTTACCATATAACTTTGCAGTGTGGGCCTGTAACCTTCCTTAGCCTCTTGACCTTGGGCTCAGCCATGTGATTTTCTTTGGCCACACCAAGCTGGGCAATAATTTTTTAAAAAGGGGGAATCTGGAGACAGACATGCTTTCAGGGAGAATGTCATGTAAGTGTAAAGGCAGATCAGGATGATGTGTCTGTAAGACATAGAACATTGAAGATTACCAGAAAACCACCAGCAGCTAAGAGAGAGGAATAGAATGATTCTCCCTTACAGCCCTCAGAAGGAACAAATTCTACCAACAACTTGATCTCAGACTTCAGCTCTAAAACTGTGAGATGATGAATTTCTGTTTAAGCCACTCCCCATTATCTTTAGGGTAAAGTCTAACCTCCTTCACAAGGTATGAAAGTCTTTTCCTTTTTTTTCTTTTTTAAAATTAAAGTTGACAATATTATATTACTTTCAGATATATAATATAATGATCAACATTTGTATACATTATGTTGTGACCAACACACTAACCCTAGTAACCATCTCTCACCATGCAAAGTTATCACAATGTTATTTACCACATTTTCCTTCACCTTCTCCTCCTCCCACCATCCAAACTCCCCTGGCAACCATCAGTTCAATCTCTGTTTCTATTGTCTGTTTTTGTTTTGTTTATTTGTTTAATTTTTTAAAATTTCAAATATGAGTGAAATCATGTGCTATTTGCCTTTCTCTGTCTGACTTTCTTCACTTAGTATATTATCCTCCAGGTCCATCCATGTTGTTACAAATGGCAAGATTTTATTTTTATTTTTTATTGCTTAGTAATATTTCACTGGACATTCTTTCATAAGCTGGTCTCTTGCTATATCTTTAGTTTCATCCACCACTGGATCCCAGTGGCTTCAGCCTTACCCCATTCTCTGGCCACATAGAACTATTTATACTGCTTCAAACAACTGCCTTAGGCTCTTGTTCATCTATAACTTGGGACTCAAATGCCTTTTCTGCTACTTTCCAATGCTCCATGGAATTACCTGATTAACATCTATTTGTGTTTCAAGCTCCAGATTGGGCATCATTTCTGGAAACCTTCTTCCCCCCTTCCCAATCCTAGTAACTGGAGGATGCTCTATTGAATGCTCCCCAAACACTCTATGGAGATATTTCTATCACAGTTCACTACACATCTTAATCTTTATCAACAGACTTGATAATGAACCTCTTACAGGCAGGGTCAGATGCTATCTGTCTTTTTATTCCTAGTACCTAGCACAGTGCTTGGCACAGAGGGGCTGTGCAGCAGTTTGTGGAAGGGATTTGTGCATGCTCATGTGCAAATATCCTGTATGTTCTTGGCATACAGGAGGTACATTCTTTTGTGTGACAACTGGCAATTCAGTTTATTTAGAAGCAAAAGCACCTAATTAAGGAGCAAGCATGGCTTCCTTATTCTTCTGTGTTTCCTTCTCTCTACCCAATCTCACATGCTTTATAATGCTTTTAGATGTAAGTGACTCTAAATTATTAGCATCTGTGGGCCTTTCAACTTCAAGTCTGACAGCCTATGGCCCACATTTCTCAGGAAGGAGAGACTATTATAACTATACTAGAGGTGCACAAAATTTGTGCAGGGGGGCCCTTAGCCCAGCATGCACCCTCTCATAATCCGGGACCACTCAAGGGATGCCTGGCTGCTGGTTTAGGCCCGATCCTGCAGGGATCCCCATGGGATCTGGCCTAAACTGGCAGTTGGAAATCTCTTAGTCTGACATCCCTCTTGCAATATGGGACCACTAGCTCCTAACGACTCACCTGCCTGCTGGCCTGATAGCCCCTAAGCACTCTGCCTAACTGCCTGATAGCCCCTAACTACTCTCCTGCCTGTCTTATTGCCCCTAACCACCTCTGCCTCAGCCCCCACTGCCGCAGCTTCATCCAGAAGGACGTCCAGAATGACATCCAGAAGGTCGTTCGGCTGTCCAGTCTAATTAGCATATTACACTTTTATTATTATAGATTTTTGCTTACCAAGAGAACTACTAATGGTTATCCTGGAGGGGAAAAAATAATAAATATCCAAACTTTAATGAAGCTTGGAGCTTCTTTTACTAATAAAACTCCAAGTGCACCACCAGCATTGCTGTGTAACCATTACATTGAGAAAGGACATAAGGCAGGGAGGGAGTTTTTCCTTTTACCTGTTTAGTCCTCATTTTGGAATCCAATGACATATTATTGTAGGTATAATGTGCCTGTGTGACTCCACAGAAGAGAGCAGCAACTATTCCTGAAATTAAAAACCACACCAGTTAAAACCAATTTTCTTTCTCATCTATGTCAAAGGGTAGGCCTATTCCAGCTAGAAGAAGATGAAAGGCCCTTTGGTAGCAGTAGAGTTAACACAGCTAATAACTACTATGAAAATGAAATCGGGTAAACATTGTTGCTTGCATTTAAACACTGGCCTGGCAAGATCAAAACTAAAGAAAAAAAACTAAAGACCTAAAGTATTAAGAGGTAGATTCTTCCTGAGGATAAATGATTCCCTGGTCACGAGTTAGGAAAGTTACACTTGGAAAAACATGAAGAGAAGGCTGCATCATCAACTCTGGACTACGCAGCTAGCACAACTGCTTGGCTGCATTCACTAAATGCTGGCATATTAGCCCTGACATTTTCTTTCCATTAGGTACTTTGAAGAATCAGAAGCAGTTCCTGTCATGTCATAATTTAGTATAAAAACTATGAGACATACACACATACAAAAAAAAAAAAAAAAAACCCAAACCATGAGTCACTGACATGAGAAATCTACCAGGGAAGGTCAGGAAAATGGCAGAGGTATAAACGGACATTTCCTGTGCCTTGTCCTGGAGCAGATAAGGGTGAGCAGCTGAAACGGGTAACATACAGCCTGAATAGGCAGAGGATATTCAGCTGAGAGACTGTCTGCAGCTGGGAAAGACGGATAACTCCCAGAAAAAAAAGGACGGTTGGAGGCTGCGGCTGAAACCTCTCCTGGTGCCCCAGCTCAGCAGCGGAGACCACACCATCTTGAGTGACTGTTACCAGCATCCAGAGATCAGCTACTAACCTGGAAACAAGGGATCTCAAGCAGCGTGACTGCGTGAACTCAGACGAGCACTGCTTCTTCTCACAGAAAGGTTGGACTTCCCCTGAAGGTGCTGTTTGCAATTCAGGTTGGAGAGAGGACCGCGCGTGCAGGGAGAAATCTGCGCCCCACAGAGTCCACAGCCTTTGGGACCAGTGTGACCCACAAGTGGGGAAGGGGCCCCACAGGGCTGCTGGCAGAAGGGAACGCTAAAAATAAGCCCATAGCTGGACTGGGTGTAAAAAAGCAGCCTTGGATTTTGCCAGTGTGCTGGCTGCTTGGTGCCAGGGGCGAGTGGGTGCGCGGAGACTGCGCGCAGACCTGGAAGGGGGGGGCCTGCAAC